TGTGTGTGTGTGTGTGTGTGTGTGTGTGTGTGTGTGTGTGTGTGTGTACTCAGGTGAAGGAGGCGGAGCAGAGAGCAGCTCAGGAGGAGGAACAGAAGAAACTTCAGGTGAGCATCACACATAAATTAAACTGCACTTTGATGCTGTTAACGAGATTAGAACTAATTAATTAATCCTTAAGGCTTTAATAACTGAGTAACTTTATCTTAATAAAACAATACTTAAATGCTAACAAGTGTACCTGTTAACTTTATGAGTTATTAATGAATGAATACTTAAATCCTAACTAATGAGTATGTTGTATGATAAATTAGTACTTGCATCATAATAACGATCAGTAAATGTTAACTGGTTCTCATGAGTAGCAATTAACACTTAATAATTGTCTTTAATTGAGTCTGAAGCTCTTTTGTGTTTTTAAGTCCTAATTAATTACAGGATTTTAAAGTGTTGACTGTGTATGTTTCACCTCCTCAGGAGGAGCTGGAGGCGTTCGAGAAGCGCCAGCAGCGAGGAGGGAGGAGAAGCAAGAAGCGGGGGAGGAGGGAGGAGGTGGACGACGAGGCCGCGAGGGCGGGGAGGTGGTGGAGGAGGTGCGCTGCCTTTGTCCTAGTCCCGCTGGGTGGAGCTCTGCTGTCCGCCGCCGCCTACTACCTCCTGACCGAGGCCTGAACCGACACGCCGATAATTAAGTCCTTTATTTAAGTTCTAATTGAGTTTATTTTCTTTTGTGAAGGTTGAGTATCATTTAAAATTCAGTTTCCGTGCCAACAAACTGCTAAACATTTTATTTAAATTGTTCGACAAACTGCTGAACATTTTATTTAAATTGTTCGACAAACTGCTAAACATTCTATTTAAATTGTTTGAAAAACTGCTGAACATTTTATTTAAATTGTTCGACAAACTGCTGAACATTTTATTTAAATTGTTCGACAAACTGCTGAACATTTTATTTAAATTGTTCGACAAACTGCTGAACATTTTATTTAAATTGTTTGAAAAACTGCTGAACATTTTATTTAAATTGTTCGACAAACTGCTGAACATTCTATTTAAATTGTTCGACAAACTGCTGAACATTTTATTTAAATTGTTCGACAAACTGCTGAACATTTTATTTAAATTGTTCGACAAACTGCTGAACATTCTATTTAAATTGTTCGACAAACTAAAAGTCAGCAATTGATTAGAAAGAGTTAGATACGCTTATTTTCTGATATTTATGTCGGATATTGTCTGAATTAATTGTTTGTTCTGTCTGTAAGACCAACAGTGCAAAACAATATATGTATTAATTTTTAAAGATAATTTTAAGTTTTTAGTCTGTATCATTAAAAACAGGCAGTGTTTGCGTTTGACTTCCTGTCGGGAGGAAACTGGGATCAGTTCCAGACTTAAAAATATAATTAAAAAAAGTATTTTAGTTAGTTAGTTTCAGTTAGTCTTTTACTTTTATTCCTGAAATGTTAAACATTGTTTAGCTATTCAGATGTAAACTCAAATTATTTTTGCCTGCCTGTTTCAAATATTTGAAAAATAAAATGTAATAAAAGGATCATTGTTTAACGTACAGCTTTGTTGTTTATCATTTTATATATTTTTATAAAGTCACAGTGGTGGTGGTCAGGTGGGGCTTTGACTCTCAATTATGTCTTAAAATTGGTTTTATTTTAACTTTTAAGTTATTCTTAAGCTTTGGCACAAAACCAGTTGGGATGAAATCACTTCACATGTAAAACAGTATTATAGTTTTTATTTCTGACATTTTTCTGATGTATTTGTGTCTAATTACTGAAACTTTTTTTCCAATCTTGAACTGTTCCAGTAATATTTTTTGCTAAAGATATCCATAATCTTCTCTACTGGGGATATAAACTGAAGAACTTCCATCGATTCTCTTTGGTAGCTAACGATAGCTAGCTACAGATAGCTAACTATTGCCAACGATAGCTAACTATTGCCAACGATAGCTACCGATAGCTATCGTTATTAATAGTTAGCAAACGAAAGCTACTGATAGCTAACGATAGCTACCATGAAAAACTGAATTGCTATCCTCTTCCTTGACGCTCTTCTTTTGTGCCGTAAATAGAACCTTTGTTTTCCAAAATCCAGCAATCTTTTAGCCACAAGGCTGCTGTTCCTTCCTGTGTGAAACAAGAAGTCATTGTTGATTAATTTGTCACGTAACTTGCCTAATGTAGTTTCAGCATTTCTGTAGCTATTTTAACCCAAACAATGATCTTTTCGGAAACTTAAGTATTTTACGACCTTTTTTAAACCTAAGTATTTAACGATATTTTTCTAAAGCTAGCTAAGTATTTTACGATCTTTTTTTGAAGCGAAGTATTTTACGATATGGTCAAATGCTACTGTCTTAATGTAAAGAAATAAAGTGAGTTTTAGGTACTATATTATCACAGAAGTCAATGGAATCTTTAATGAGTTTTGGTACTTTGGAAGTTCTTTTAAACAAATTAAACGTCCTCACTATTCCATAGGTCCTCACAAAGAGAAAAACAAGATGCACGTAGTTAAAGCTGTGGGTGGGTGGCTGGCTCAAGGCTCAAGTCCCAGCATGACGGTGAGTTGTTTGTTTAATCCCACGATTAGGCTCCGTCACGTGCAGACAACCTGAGGTGTGTGCGCGCGTGTGCGTGTGTGTGTGTGCGTGTGTGTGTGTGTTGGGAAAGCAGAGAGAGAGCGCGAGCGACTCCGAGGGGGCGGAGCCAGCGTGTCTCGTGCTCGGTTAGTTAGCGGAGCTGCTCGCGGGCAGCAACCAGAGGGATGGTCTCGCGCTCGGCTGCGGGCGGCATTGGGTCATGTTGTCCGGCCGGCGGGAGACCTGTCCGCGTGTCACGTTCAGCGGGGCGGGAACTGAGGCGGTGAGTGTCCGCGCGATTGTCCTTGAATTTACCGGCATGTCTCCTTGTCTGTCTCCTCCTCTGTCTCCTTGTCTGTCTCCTTGTGTCTGTCTTCTCCTCTGTTTTCTCTGTCTCCTTGTCTGTGTCCTCTGTCTCCTAGTCTCTGTCTCCTTACTTCCGTCCTCTGTCTCTTTGTGTCTCTGTCACCTTTAATAACCAGAATATCTTAAATATCTTTGAATAATAATAATAATGATCATTTAAATTGATATAAATCAGGTGACAGTCAAACTGTTATTTAACTGAATGCATTACTCTGCTCCTGAATAATATGTTTAATCTGTAATCAAATATTTTAAATTGAAGAAAAACAGTTCAATGTATTTTGTCTAGAACTCAACGGTTTAAAATATAAATATATAAATGTTACTCTTTGTGGAATCATTGAATTTTTGCTTAAATTACTTCAAACGTTTGTTAAAATAGTAACTAATCTAACTTCAGCTTTAAAACGAGTTCATTTATTTTAACAGAATAAAAGTCAATGTCTGGATGAAATGATGTATTTATTTAATTTAATTATTGTTATTATTGTTTCATGAATAATATTTAGTGCAGCTTTATAATGTGAAAATAAATCTTTGTGAACTGAAGTTGTTTCAGAAGACAAATGATAATAATAATAATGATCCTGTCTTCACACAAAATATTAATTTAAATATCATTAAAGACAATTAAAATCTTTAATACGTCACTTTAAAATAAATGTGTATTTATTTACAGAATCACTGAGTTATTAATAATATAATCAATATAATTATGTTTAAAGGATTTATTAGTGTCTCATAAATAGATTAAATAATAATAATAAATAGATTTAATGTGTATTCTTCACCTGAAAGGATCAAGAAAATAAATTAAACTATATTGATATATAACTTTATATATATATTTAGTATTGATTATGAAGTAACCGAAGCATTAGGACTGAATTAAACATGTTTAGTTTTTGTTTTCAAAATAAAAGCCTCTAAATGATTTTCAGAATACGGAGAAGTAAGAGTGACATCATCGATACCTCCAGATCTATTGATCATGAGTCGATCAACAAGAGTATTGATCAGAGAGGAGGAGGAGGAGGAGGAGGAGGAGGGAGAGGGGGAGGAAGTGGAGGAGGAGGAGGAGGAGGGAGAGGGAGAGGGGGAGGAGGAGGAGGAGGAGGAGGAGGAGGAGTACTTAAAGCTGCTGTAAGGTGTCCAGTGTCCACTTTAAAAATAACTTTATCGACTCCAACGGACAGAAACACGTTATAAATAACCTGAGGCAGGGGGCGGGGCTTAAAGGGTCTCTCTTTCACCACCGTTAACGTCTGATTGGTCTGTCCTATAGGCCCCGCCTCGAGGACCCGAGGAGGCGTGTCCTCACAAACTGGGATTGACCAATCACCTTCGACTTCTCCTCTACGTCCTGATTCCTGCTGTGAGTCTGCTGCTGCTGAGCCTACTGCTCACAGGTAATAATACA